AAGTCATCATGTCGTGTGAAATAATTGATAAATTCATTTTTTTTTTTTAAATTTTGACTTAGACCACTTTCATAATTATGGGCACAAATCAGGAACCGCTTTACTTTGGAAGATCGCGCCTCTTCCGCGGACCGACTCACCCTGTTTCACCCCGGGTGACTCCTCGTAATCCTGGCTGAACCTGACCGCGGGAAACGAAATCGTTGCACGGCGATTGTTTTGCTTAGCGATCCCATTGCCGTGCGCATTGCCGCGGCAAGATCTGTGAAGCAGGTGATGCGCTCTCAGCGACTCTTTGTCGACGTTCTCCTTGCGCAGAGGCATATTTTCACGAGCGACAAAAACAAACACAGTTTTTTTCCTCTCCGCGGGCTTTCACGCACCGGTGTAATTATCCCCACCCGCACAATCTCTCACGCGTCCATCCCTGTTCTTCCGTCGGGCGTTTGACGAATTTAGCCCGGTGAAAATGTGTCTCAATTCTGGTTTTTGTTTCGGTAAAAGTAGAAAGGCACCGCCGACCTTCCCCCCATCGCGAGTTTATCACGATTTTAATCGCAGCTTATATTAATTCACTTCTATAATTCGTTAATTATAAATTGTCTGATTTTACGTAAACAATTTACATGATTCGCAAAATTATTTATAAAATATTTTGCATTTTAGATTGCAACATAGATGATAACAATTGATAACTCATGTAATCAGACACACTCGATGTATACACAGTTGAATAATTCCGACAGCGAAGCAAACTGAATCGATTACAAACTAATTTACGTATCAGTAAACAGTTTTATAATTGAACACGACCAACGGTTCCCTTTCGTTTCGAGGAAACGGAATGGAACACGAGGAGACTCCATTACGGAGGAGCACGCCTCGAGCTCACCGAGTCTCGACTGAGGCGAAGGAGACAGCAGCAGCCAGCAAGCGCGTTAGTAAATATCTCCAGAGGCCCAAAGCAGATCGAAAAGAAACACGGGAAAAGAGAGGCGGGAGAGGCAGGCGTGCTCCCACGGCTTCTCGCCGCAGCTCATTCCCTTCCTCTTCGTCGTCGTCGTCGTCTTCTTCTTCCTCGCTGGTTCAAATGCGAAAGTATTCGCACGCTTATCATAGAAAGTTTTATGAATTCCAATTCCATCTTCTCTTTTTCTTTTATCCTAATAAACATTCTTATGCAAGAATTTTTATCGACAGAATCACTAATTAGATTTCAAACTCGTTTCCATTCAACACTGCCATTAATAATACAATATTAGAATCGAATAC